ACGCCCGTTGTTGAATTGCATGAGGTGAGAATTTGTAGTACTAACCACATACTCCGGTAAGCTTTGAACTTGGCGATTCTATTACGAGAATGGCTACTCACAGACCGGGAGTGGAGAGATGGCGGGAAGAGTGTGTACCCACGTGGCTATAAATTTGGATTGGTGGAGTCTTGTATTCTCGGGTGCATGCTGGACCCGTTCTTGTTTTGAGAGGATCGAGGGTAGGTTGGTATATGTAGGTCGGGGACCTACATATGTCGTGGTGGTCTGGAATTCCCATTTGGGTTTATAATCGGTTCGAATCGTCGTTGCTCCTCGGTTATGGAGACTCAACTCCTTTGTTCATCATCGTAGTATTAATAATGGAACTTGAGAATGGTTGATGAAGGTGTTGGATATGAAGTTTCATGATCTTATTACGGATCGTGTCATCTTTGTATATGAGTTTATGAAGTTTAAATTGTTGAAATAAAGAATTTTGTTAAAGAGCTTTTACATAAAATAACTTTGATTATTGCTAAAATCATACCTTGAATCTCGAGCCTGCATTCTTGAGTCATCAGTTCTTATTTCGGTTAAGTCTTGTTGAGTACTTTTGTACTCTGTGGTTCGATGACCCTTTTTTTGTGTGAGTCTCATGAGCAGATCTGTTGTGGATCGTCTTGCGCATGACAGCTTGTACCTTGTGATGACGATGAGAAGTAATTGTGTGGCCCTTAGGGTGAGCAAACCTCATTATGTGTTTTGTATTATATTATAATGCCACTCCACTACTTTGGTTTGTATTAATATCGAACTTAGTTGTATGGCTTGAAACAAATGGTTTGTAAACTATGTTATTGTAAGTCTTCCGCTACTTTTACTCTGATGTATCTATTTGAATAAATTGTTGTAATACTGCAATGACTCTGTAATGTGATCCTGCTCGGAAATCGTGGATGATTCGGGGTTCCCCGAGGACACCCGATAGTCTTCTTAAATTACCAGGAACATATGCATAGATGTCAAAGGTTGTTGGACAGTGACAGGTGCATGTGGGCCCTATAATTTAGGAGGTTCTGCCACAGCTACGAATCTAGGGCGCTGGCGGCAGGTTAGCAAGGGTAGCAGATTTGAACGGCGGCGGCGGAAAGGCAGAGAAGGCAATATTGTGGTTTGGCACGCCAAAACATGAAGGGGGAGGCTGCTATTTATAAGGCGGGGTATGGCAAGAGGTGAACCGTTCACCTAGATTTACGCGCTCGCCGCACCGCGTCACATCGCCTCTCCGGAAACACGCGCATGCTACCTCTGTCCGCTTCCTCGAAGGATGCGTCGGATGACGGTTCACCCCAATCGATGGGCCAAGAACCATCATAGGTAAGGAGGGATACGGAGCTAAAAACGCTCCTATGGCCCATTCAGGCCCAAGAGTTTGAAGGTTGGCCCATTGATGGGTTCACAACCGCTCCAGGACACCCTTAGAGTGAGGGGTGGAAAGGGATGGGCCCACTAGCGGCCAGTACCCGGGTGCAAGAGCGTCGTGGGCATCCTGGCCCACGTTCGAGTCTTGGTCGGTTCCTAGTCCATGGTTTTTCCTCGAAGAAAGGTGACGGGCCCTTAGGACCGATCGAACTAACCCAAGAACTATATGGATTGGCCGCCAAGAATCTGAAGTCGGTCACCAGCTGACCCATGCCAGACCCCCGTGAACGGGAAGTCGGGGCCCCACTCGGACTAGGCCGTTAACAGCTCACGAGCACCATGATTCGTCCATCGAGGAAAAACATGGCACGGCACAACCCCTATATTTTATCGAAAAAATGCTTGAGGGATGATGATCACAAAGACGAGCTGACCCCTCGACCGGACCCCTACAACGCGTAGGGGCTCTTGGGAAGTTGGACTCGCAAGGAGACCGAATACGCGATCGCAGGACGATGGCGGATCGATCGGATCCTAGGGAGTAGTCGGAATCAAGAGAAATCTTTTCCGCCCCCGAATCCCGTAGCTACATGTTCCCAAGGAGTCCGGTCACGACAGAGGAGAATCGCAACCCACCAAGGCATCCCATAGGTAGTAGAAGATCGAGGCCCTCAAAGTCCCTCCATCCGAAAAAAAGCCTACGAAGGAGTATCCTACTCCTCCGTAGGCTCGGGGGCTACTGTCGGGTATCAGTGCTAGGGATACCCGAAGAAGGGATCTGAGGACCGTGGACGATGGCTCGCCTAGATGATCAAAGACGTATTTTGGTCTCGCCTGACCCCAACGATATGGGAGCTGTGTCGCCCAACCCTGAGGGCACGGGCTCTGCCTCGCCTAACCACGGGGGCGCGGGCTCCGTATCGCCCGACCCCTAGGGTATGGGAGACGTCTCGCCAGACCCCTAGGGCACGGGCTCCGTCTCTCCCGACAGGGACCCATACTGCCTCCAGCCACTACGGGTCAGAAGGTACGATCCCGAGGTCAAACTTCTGACACCGGGCAGGAAGCAGGCACGTCTCGACGTGACCCATGGCCACATCAGGCCACGCCCGGGGGTTTACATCGCCAACAGTGATGGGTGCATGGTCACTACACTGCCTACTCCCTGTACGGCCGCTGACCGGCATGTCGGTTCGCCACGCCGTCTGCCGAGATGTGATGGGACGCCATGACCACCTGATGACGCCAGGGCATGGCACCAGTGGTGAACAGGAGCCCGGCGTGGAGCCGTCCCCATCACCATCTACAACGTCGGTGGGACCCGCATGAAGGAGAAGAAGGACCCGGACCCGGCGGCCCTGGGGGCCTTCTTCTCCCTGACTTTTCTGTTTCTTTCTCTCTGTAACCGACGCCTCCCCCTTCACCTATAAAAGGGAAAGCAGGATGCCCCAAGAGGAGGAGGACGGCGAACACACAGCAAAACAAGCACACAGCTGAACGAGCTCAGCAAGACTCTACTCCATTCGACCTTTTCACTAGAGACTTGGGAACTTCTCCCTCTCTCGCCCGTTTGTAACCCCTACTACAAACTAGTGCCGGTAACATGAGCAGCAACACACTGGACGTAGGGACATCCACCCGAACCAGTATAAATCCTTGTGTCCTCCGAGCACACCATTCGAGCCAGACACGCAGATACAAATTTACTCGTCGGTGATCCGAAACACCGACATTATTATAAGGCCCAAAATGCATGGTAAAGAGGACATGAGAAGATTGTGTTGCCACATCGGTGTCTTAGGAAGTGGTGCTTTGAGTTAACAAGTACTTAAATATCAGGAGTTTCTAACCTTTTGTCCCCCACTAAAAGCTACTTTGATCCCTTCGTTTTTTTACATGTCCTATTTGGTTTGTCCTAAGTCAAAATTTTCTAAATTTGGCTATCAATTTAAAAAGGACCAATATGGTGGGACAACGCGAGCTCCTGCATGGAGCTCTTTGTGGGCGGGGGGTGTGGCTAAGGTGGGCAACTGCGGTGAGGGCGCCCGACGATCCGGGCCGACGAAGGCCCCATCCATGTCATGTTCTATGCTTCAAGTGGATGACACCCGGGGCGCACTAATGGTAGTGACAAACGATGGTATCAACAGGTTCATCCTCATGATGTCTATCCCACGAACCAAGCAAGAAACAAGGGCATCCTAATCCCTAGACCAAACAGATTAGTTGGATCAAATTCCTTCTGAATTTTTTTTTGGAACGAACCCATCTCATCCTCTTTTATCCTCAAATCAAACACAACCTCGTGGTGCCATTCTCGTATGTCATTGATGTTTTTTTTTCTCTCCATTCTTATGCAATGGTGATTTTTTTAAAAAACATACTACAATGGTGAATTCAAAATAGAAATCAGTTTAGCATGCACTTCTTCTAATTTAAATTATAAGACGTTTTGGCTAGCCAAAACATCTTATAATTTATAATGTGAGTAACAGGCTTATCAAATGAACGACAGAATCTGTCACTCGTTGTGATGCTGGAATTTGAACTTGCCTCCCGTTTTCGGCAGAGAAAATTGCCCGTTCTATTGAAATTATGCATGGTCAAGCGACAGCACTCGCTGCCAATCGTAAATTGTATGCCAACGCAGCAAGCACGATTAGGCCTTTTCCCACAACGAAGCAAACCACACTCCCTGTTCGCTCGAACAGACACACAAAACTAAAGCTTGATCTTTGAAAAGTAGGAATATATAAGTCTCAATTTTGATTTCTCTTGAACAAGAGAAAACTTAGGTCTCAGGGTTAACGGAATAACGGTGGCATGACACAGTGCGGCAGAGGATCCAAGTCGTTTCTTCTTTCCCGTGCCCAAAACCCGATCTGACCAAATGTCAAGGTCGGACACGTTCTAGAAGTTTCGGAAAATCTGAAAAAATGGAAAAGCTTTCCTATGAAAAGAAAACGATCTTTTATTTCTATTGCTGGACTTAGGGGCCACTTGGAGGCACTCTACTGAGCAGATTCTCAAAGAGAATCACTCCCTGACTGTCAAACGTAAAAAAAAATGACCCAGCTTTCTCTAGGTATCCAAGTGAATCATTTCTCTATTTTGTATACAAGCGAGGAAGCCGAAAAAAACCTGCTTCCCCAAATTCTCTTTAGCTCCTTGTTATATTTTGATAATCCCCACCCTGCTCCCTCTTAGAAATCCAGTGAAATCACTCCATCGGAGAATCAAGGAGCAGAGCTAAAGAATCAGAGAGCGGAGCTCTCCCAAACGGGGCCTTATCTTCTCCGCTGGGAGGAAAACGGAATGAGAAAATTGCCTGGGTTTAGCGCGCTGGCTGTGGGTCCAACTCCCGAGCCATGGCGGCCGATGCTTCCTATATAACCGGATGCCGGGGCCTCGGGCCTACTTCCACAAACATTCATCTTCATCCCCAACTCCAGGTCTCCAGCTAGCTCGGGGTTGGAGAGGCGGCGAAGATGTCGGCGCCGTGGTGGGACTAGGACTATAAGACCAGGGACCGCTTTGGGCCGGAGTACCGCTGTTACGTGAGCAACCTACCCTACAACATCAGCGTGGGCTCCCTCATGGACATCTTTGCGTCCTACGGCCCCCTCAGCGCCGAGGTGAGTGTGTCTTCTTGACAGATGGATTCATCAGTTGGTGTACAGTTGATTACTATCTGGTCCGTGCGAGTTAGGCCCTGTTTAGATCCCACCCAAAATCTAAAATTTTCCAAGATTTTCCGTCACATCAAATCTTACGGCACATGTATGGAGCATTAAACGTAGGTAAAAAGAATAACTAATTGCACAGTTTGCCCGTAATTAGCGAGACGAATCTTTTAAGCCTAAATAGTCCATAATTGGACAATTTTTACCAAATACAAACAAAAGTGCTACAGTGTCCATTTTTCAAACTGGAAGGGATCTAAACAGGCCCTTACTGTATTTTTGTTTTGGATGAGTCTACATATACACGTTTGGGCGTCGTTTTCTAGTCTTGGATGTTGCTTTCTCTTGGCTGATCACTGCATTTTCCTGCTGATCTGTCATCTCTTTCAGCACGTGTTTTTGGATCTGTGTTCCCCTTTCCCCAACACTATTTATTTATTTTTATTTATTTTAAGCTTGATCGTTTGTTAGATCTGTAGTTGTTTCCAGTAAATACTTATTGATTAAAAATTCTAAACTTAATCAGTTTTGGTGCGATGGTTTTTTAATCATACTCCCTCCATCATCTAATACAGTGCATTTAAAAAAAATTAATACAACTTAAGAGAATCCTCAAATGGTGCACATAACTATAGATTAAACCCAATTGAAGTAATTCTTCTTGTGGCTTTCTTTTTAACAAACTTTACTAAATCTAAGAGTATCTCCAAGAGTTCTCAATATCGTACAGTTCCCAATTTAGAATTTCCAGCAAGAATGGGAAAAAAAACTCATCTCCTACGGTTCCCAATCCCACCTCTCAATCTTTCCGCGTTTGGAAGAATAGACTCGATCGCCGTGCGTCTTCCACGCGATGTATCCATCGACCAATCTAAAGGTGGTAGGGCTTGAGAAAAAATAAAGAGCAGGAAAATATTTCTGATGCAAATATACAAAGAGAAAAAAATATATGAAAATGAATTATTGGAAACGGTTGGAGATGGTATTATTTATTCTTCCTAATATTTTTTAGTGAGTTGAAAAACTTATGGTTTTAGAAAACAATTGTTATGAACTCTTGGAGATGATGTTCTAAGCATGGACACTACGTAAAATGCATTATGTTTCGGTATAGATTTTAGAAGTCATGATGCACTTATATTCTATTCTAGGATGGAGGGAGCAATTGTTTTCGGACATTGTGTTCATTTATTTGGATATAATAATGTATTTGCGGCTAAAATCTGCACTTTGTTGGCTCTTTGGCAGATCGTGGACGACCGTGAGACGGGGAGGTCCCGTGGCTTCGGGTTCGTGCTGTTCGGTGACGAAAAGTCGATGGAGAACGCCATCCAGGGGATGAACGGCCAGCAGATCGGCGGCCGCACCATCTCGATCCGTCAGCAGGGGCAAACCAGCGCTCCAGCCGCTGGAGGTAGAGGGTGCGTGATACGGTGATACCGCCGGGCGGTCCGGTTATCATCGCCCTTATCGTTCGTTAGCTCTATCTCAGTAGTGTTTGGTCCTCTATCGTTTCAGGTTTACCATTTGCCGTTTGTGTGGTTTAGTGTTAATGTGTTATGGAATGGACCTTGCCTCTTTTTTTTAGCATTTGGAATGGACCTTGCCTTGATAAGCTGTTCGTCGTTTGCTTTGTCGTGTCTGTGAACTCGATAAGTTATTTCGTCGTTGTTTGCTTGAAATTTATGAAATGGAACTTAAGCTGATTTCCTACCACAAGCAGCTATGGCTCCACTCCTAAATTGATGCTATGTTGCAGCAAGGGTCACCTCAAGCTACTGTATGCATGAATGTGGTGTCCAGGGCGGATCCAAGGGGGCTGGAGGCCCTAGCCCCTTAGAGCTGGTGTATCAATTGAAATATGGGGAGGGTGAGAGAGAACAAGAGGTGGAGGAAAGAAGAAAAATAGAGAGAGAGGAAGAAGAAGAGATCAATGCTCCTTCAATCTTGTTCTGCATCCGCCACTAGTGGTGTCTATGTTTATAAAAAAATTTGTAATGATCACATATTCAACAACATCAATTGGTCGGTTAGACCGCGTATATTGTCAAATGATGTAGAGGCTAGAACTTGTTTCGTTATTAAAACTCATTTCTTCGGTTGCAAGGGTACTGCACGAGGCTAGTGATGGTGCTTATACGATATAGCAATTGGAGATGACTTTATACTATACCTGCTACCATTCTAGCTGCTACTCACTTTACTGCCTCGCAGGTTCATGATACTTTTAGGATTTTTTTTGACGCTGCATTCCTCGGGTCTTGGAAATCCTTGGAGCTTGAAGCTCACACCCTCTTTCTGGGAGCCAATGGCCCCGTGAACTTATCGGTCATACTATTTCAGCGAAATAATAGTATTTTTTTCTCATAATAAATTAACATTAGCATTAACTGTTTCTCTAACCAGCCGAACAGGACCAATAAGGCTACGACTCTCGATCAACAAAATGCAACTCGACAACTAGGTGTTGGCCACCGTCATGTACACCCTCCATATTGCTTGCTACGTCCTATTATTAATGAAGTACAGGATACCAAATAAGCAAAAAGGCATACTCTTTGATCAAGATGCGTAGAGAGACAAACAAGGCATACTCTTTGATCAAAACTAGAGAATACCCTGCGCGTTGCCACAAAAACTTTCAAATAAATTAGATTAAATATGTTATGCAAAAAGTACATAAAATGGAGTATGATTAAATAGATTTCTTTGCACCCCTAAAAAGAATTTACCGATATGTTACTCTAAAAATCATGCAAATTAACCATCAGCGCATGCCTGCTCTAATCCTTGTTGTAGAACCAAATGGATAAAACAATAATTAGCTAGGGACATAGATATTAACATGTACTAGTTTTTTGCGAGAAAGGCAAGAATGTGCAAAGATCTTGGGTTGTGTTGGCGCGGTAATAGAGGAGGATGCATTACATACTAATTAGGACAGTATCGATGGTCAGGTGACCTTTGACTGTAATGCTATCTTAACCAACATCTTCACGTCTCCGTCCCTTTCGATCCTGACCGTGCCAGCGGCTGCCCGTAACTGCGCCGACGGTAGCATCACCGGTGTGTGGGCATGCGCCCTTCCGCTTCGACGCATCCGACTACAGCTTTCGCCTTGTTCGCGCCCGGCAGCTGCTATGACGTGCGCGCACATATGGTCCTTACTCTGGTACATTCACCAATGCAACACACCAGGAGGCTTAGCACAAAATTGATAAAACTATTTACCGGCAGCACCTTGCTTCATCGATATCATGCCTCCTTGGTCTTTTGGAAGCCATGTATGAAATCCACAGGCTGCTGCTTCCTGATTTCTTATTTAATTTGGTGAATGGTTGGGTCACGTACATAGTTGAACCATGCTTGCTTGTGCTTTTATAGAAGCAGGACATGATTAGGGAGATGGAGAGGTTTTTTATCAGTTTCAAAGCTAAAGTTAACGGCAGTCTCTTTGGCTTCTAAGTGCATTGCACTGGTAGCAAGACGATGCGACTGATCTTAATTGGCTAGCAATGGTGGGAAGCAGTTTTATGATAAACAATTGATACATGCATACAACAATTAGTACAGTGCTTTGCATGTGCATATGGGAAAGGAGAAACGACAAAACGATAGTGACAATTAAGCTGTGCGTGTATGAACATGATGATGACGTGGCTGCACGAGGACTTGTGGTGGTAGGGCCTTGGATGACGTGGCTTCACAAAATCGTAAGAAAATAAGCTAGTGGGGTTCTTCTATTTTTACGGTAGATGCGTAGAGAGACAAATAAGGCTGCCGACATTCTTCGCTAAAATTTCCCAAAAAAATTACATTCTTTGCTAAAAAGGCAAGATATGCAAATTGCAATGATCCCGAATTCGTGCCTTTTCTCTTATTAGGTTCTTGATTATTCTCCAACTTGAAATATCAAACATGTGTTAGAAGGAGCTCTTTTTACGGTGGTTGGGGGTACTTCTTGGTTCCTCTTAGTTTCTAAGTAATTAATTAGCGCTAATTAATTTTATGAGTGAAAGGTTAATATGGTAATTGCGGCTCCCCCTCCCCCCGCCACCCCTCCCCCACACGCACCCGAACCCGCACGCCTCGCCCATGCGCACCCGAAGGACGCGAGCAGGTCCGTGGACGCGAGGCTTCCCTGCCCTCGGCCTTAGCCGTGGCCGCCTCACCCTCGACCTCACCATCGCGCGGCGCCGCCGCCACCGGCCTACCCTCGCCACCATCGGTCGCTCCTCCCTCCTCCCCCAGCACCCCTCGCCCCACGCGCACCCAAACCCCATTGCGGCGACAGAATATCTCGTCCTCCGCGACGAGGATTCCCAGCCAAGCGCACGCCGTATAAAGCAACCGGGCGGCCCCGAAGCGAGAGAAGAGGTCCGACTTCTGCTTGCCCGCCTGCCGCACAAAAGAGTCAAGCTGCCGCTCCACTGACACGGTCCACACCCATCGCAACAGCTCAGCATCTGCATCTCGGCCTCATCGCCGTCGTGTGCGCCCATCGTCTGCCGGCCTGCAGCACCGACTCCGCCTCATCGCCGTCGTGCGCGCCCACCGTCCGCCATCCTGGAGCACCGACTCTTGCCACCGTCTTCGTCTTCATCGACATCTTCTTCCGGTGCCAGCAGCAAGGGTAGGGAAGGAACTCCGTCCTGGTCCCGGCTTCCGTCTTCTCTCCCGCGTCGGACTCGTTCCATGTTGATGGAAATATTTTTTTGCTGTCAGCTCATCTTGTAATGGGTAAGCTTCAGTCTCTAATTCAATAGCCTGAAAAAATAGTGCAATCACTTTCTTTTTACTGATGATCCACCAAATCATTAACAGTAACATTGGATATAACTAAAAGTACACAAGCTGCATGCTAATAATGCAGTATGGGTAAGTTCACTATAAATATGGGTACGTACCATTACTAATTTGGCTATTTGATAATCGACAAGGCTAATAATTAC